CCAAAAAAAAAAAAAAACCCCAAACAAAACAAAAACAAATCCCACATGCATACTACCCTTTTGGGCTAAGCCCCGGGTGTTTCAAATGTCTGGCTCCGCCTCTGCCCCAAAGTACTAAAATATCGATATTTTAATATGAGAATCGATTCTAGGACAAGTTACTGGGATCGGAACAATCGATATTTCAATATCGATCCGCACACCACTAACAAACACGTTTAACTTACCGAAAAAGTGCAGCAGGGCCTCGGGTCCTTCTGTCGGTCACTTTACTAAAGAACACCTCAGGCTGTCAGGTTAAAACACTCGGTCGTGTTTTCGTAGCGTAAACGCTCGCCCTCGACTCAGAGCCTACGCTCTATCTGCTATTCCCGAACAGAGATACAGTTTCTCTGTTCGGGAATAGCAGAGTTTCTCCGTGACTGCAGCTGCCATTCAAAGCTATTATGATGACGTTTCACCCCTATTTAACATCACCGCGGTTGAAATTAGAATCAAACTTATGGGAGAGGAGACCCCTTGAACATCAATCAGCGTGATGAGAACTATTGATAACAAAAGAAAGAATCTTTGGAAAAAAATTATCTGAGGAGAATAGGTTTATTTTAGTCTGACCCCAGTCCCATCTGTTAACATGGAGGAGGCGGGGTTTATGACCTATACTGCAGCCAGACACCAGGGGGCGATAGAGACGTTTTGGCTTCATTTTTGGGGAGCTGTCGCGTCGTCCATGTTTTATACAGTCATTGTTAGAAACCTGCAGTCAGCTGCGACTGAAGAAGTCACTTGGATTAGTGACGAAACGTTTCTCCCACAAAACGCTACGTCCAGATGAACAGAATCAACTTTTGGAGAGTAAGTTTAGAAAGATTTGGATGTAGCAATTTTGCTAGCTTATCTGGTGCGGCTTAGCGACCGGCAAATTAAGTTCTGGTTTGAATTAGTTTCTTATAAAAATCACACACATTTTGCCCCCATAGTAACGGGTCACATTCTGTATAGACGATCTTTGATTGCGTGATTGCACCAGAAGGCAGACGTCTGTTGATAGGAGGAAGGACGGGACTGATCGGTCGGCGGGCAGGTCGGTGAGAAAACGGCGGACCGTCATGGACAGGACGGCCGTGGTGAAGGTCGGAGCCGCGGCCAGCGCCAGTGTGTGTGCTTTGTTCGGCGGCGTGGTTCTTGCCCAGTACATCGTCGCCAAAAAGAAGCGAGCTGGAAAGAAAACTAGGATCATAGAAATGGTTAGTACAAGTAGACAATTTAGTTTTATCAAGAGCGGTAAGAAACAGGAAGGGAAGGAGCAAGGGCTTCAAAGTAAAGGTGCACTTTTTTTCATAATAGCTATTCCGTCTTTATTCCAAGACGAGCGAGTTGTTTAATGTGTTTATGTAGTAAAAAAAACAACTTGTTATGACATTGTATTTTGTCCACTGAAACACTCACAGGAGGTTGGAGCATGCGTTCAGAAATTTTCGGCCGGAAATGGGACGCTCTGCTCTGTTTTCTTGACATTAATGGGCCTACACGATGCTGTACGCGTGCGCGACAGTTCCTTAAAACAGCAGCTGTTTAGAGGTCACCGGGCAGCTTTTCTCCCACAGAAAGAGCAGGAGCCACTTTTATGCAGTGACAGCTGAGCCTCTGTGTCAGTGATGCTCTGCAGCTCTTTCAACATTAGAAAAATGCTGAGTGCTACTGTCTACTACAGGTTATGCAATCATCAGGAGTGCAGGTAGGACTCTGGGTCCAGCTCTCTAACCATTCTAGCAGGAATCAGAATGGTCTGCTAAAATATAAACAGTTGACACAAAAATGAAGGTAAGAAATGTGCGGGGAAAAGTCATATGCCTGTGTTGTTAAAAAGGTGGGAAACAGCAGCACGTAACTTTGTTGTTATGTAAGAGCCATCATATAAAACACAAACACTGATAATTTAGATTTTTCTTTTAGTTTGTTCACACTGAGGTATGTACATCTTTTATTTTAGGAAAAAAAAAACATGCCATCCAAAGTTGGTGTCAACCACCAAAGAACTTTTAGATTGCCTTCCAAAACTAAACAGCAATCTAATAAAACATTTTTCAAATCACCTCCTGAAAGACTTCCTAAAAAATAATACTGAGGCAGGGAAAATCCTGGGTATGCAGTATGCTGTCCAACATTAGGAAAACCTTTATCACACACAACATATTTCTCTTTCATTTTTTTTAAAATATATCTTTACCTTTAACTGTGTTTTTATAATGTATTATACAGATACATAGTTTGACATTTGGTAGTTGGTGCAGCAAAGAATGTGAGATTTGCAATATTTTGTCATTGAAAAATACATATTAAACAAGCTTTCATGCGAGATTATATCCAGAAGTACTGTAATATGTAATATAACACCAACTGAGCCATTATTTTGTGTTAGTCAAAGCTGTTTATATACAGCTTCTATCCAAAACATTCACACACTTATAACCTAATTTACTAGAAAGACTCCCCTGGAATTCAGTTGGCACATTCACATTCTGAAGTGGCTGTAGCAGCAGTCAAATGCTTTGGCTCCAGATAAAGATTTACATTTTTGCTGATAGTAATTTTCATAGCAGGTATCCTCCTGTCATTGAGTCATAGTTCCTTTTTATGTGCTTTGTCTTGCAACAATGGCCTGTCTGCTTTGTATGAAGCTCTCATAGTGTACTGAAGAAAAACGTGTCAATGGACAGTTTAATGATCATTAATATGTAAATTGTCATGACCGTTGATCATCTGCCTCCATAATGACATCTCTCACCTTCTCAACGAAATTCAAAGTGTTCTGGATGTTGTGTTTAGAGCTGCCTAAACACCACATCGAATTAAAGATCGAAGCCAGAAACTTTGAGATGTTATAGGAGACTGAGTTGCTCATACAGACAATTGGTCTTAAAGGTACTAGAGATGGACCGATCCGATATTACGTATCGTATCGGTCCGATACTGACCTAAATTACTGGATCGGATATCGGAGAAAAATAAAAAATGTAATCCGATCCATTAAATATCAAAAAAGCACCTCACAAAACTTGCGACATGGCTTAACTCAGCTCATAACCGGAGCAGTCGGAGCAGGTGCATCACGTGGTAGAGCGGTCGTGTGTATTTGTAGCCTCGCTACCAAACCGGCATTTCATCTCTGAGGAAGTTCCCCCAGAGAGAAGTAAAGCAAGTGTGGCAGTTCATCTCTGAATGTTTGTAAAGCATTCCCGCGTTAAGCTTAACAACCGATATATGGAGCGACTGCCTCTTCTCTCTCCCTCCCTCTCCTAAATAATTGATTTCTGTGCATTTTTTTTCACACTGCATCAAATTAAAGTTGATTACGTCGATTAAGCATCATGAGGTGGAGGGTGGTTCCCTATTTTTTGCTGGGAGTTTGCAACCCTATTAGTTAGGTTGCTTACTCTTTAAAATACCAGAATAAGAAGGATGGAGTAGGTTTAAGTTTATTAGATTGATCAGTATTGCTGAATTGTGAAATATTTTGGGTGCAGTGTATTTTTTGCATACAGGTATAACAGAATAGCTTTAGTGTTTGTTTGTTTTTTTGTTTTTTTGTTTTTTGTTTTTTAACTTGAGTTTGAACCTATACAAAATGCAGCAAGATATTAAAAAAACAGTTTTATTGGTTAAAAACACACTATATTGGATTCATATCGATATCGACAGATATCCAAATTTATGATATTGGTATCGGTATCTGACATAAAAAAGTGGTATGGTGTGCACCTACCCTTGTCTGCCGGAAGGATGATAATTTTTTTGCAATTACTAAGTGATGGGAGTGCCTTCCTCTCCTCCATGCTGATGTTGGAAACTGGGGGCTTTGCATTGCTGAGACAGGCCAAAACTTTTGTCCGCAGTTACTCTACTTCCACATCTGCATTGTTGTTGTTTCAAATTGCTGATTCTGTGGCTGTAATCAGTTCCACTAGTGGGATTTGCCTCCGTGTCATAGCAAAGTACATCCCTTTTGCAAGGATATTTTTCTCTGTTTGAGTGAGTTGTCTGTCAGACCTTTTTGGTCTTACAATAACATGTGCAGACAAAAACTAGAGGCAGACAGACTGGCATGACCATAAATGATAGAAAACTGCAGTTTTCTATCTAATGAATCAAGTGCACATAAATTAATTCAGTAGCACGATTATTTATTTTTTCAACATGGCTTCTTTGGTGGGTGTTCCATCTCTGAGGAGAAACCCTGTTAATGTTGACATTAAAAGTCCAGTAAGTTCTTTGTAGCACGTGCAAATATATAATTGTCCAACATTAAGAAAACCTTTGGCGCACACAGCAGATGTGTCTTTGACTTTTTCTCAAGGAATCTTTAATCATAACTGCAAAAGAGAGATACAAGATTGAATGTATATATTTTGTCGCATTTGCTGTGCTAGTCAAAGCTGTTTGTATGCAGTTTCTAGCTAAACATATATGCACAGCCAGTTTACTGGAAAAACTGTTAGCTGAATTCTGCAGGAACATCTCCCATTTAATTTGTTTGTGGAAAACTGAAAAGTGGCTGAAAGAGCAGTCAAATGCTGTGGCTGCAGATAAAGATTTACAGTTTTGCCAGTTGTAATTTTCATAGCAAATATCCTCTTGTCATCATGTCATAATTGCTCTTTTATTTACTTTGTCTTGCCACAGCGGTCTGTCTAATTTGTTTAAAACTCTGATAGTGTACTGAAGAAAAATGTTTCCATTTGAGAAATGGTGTCCAAAAAACTTTAATTTCTCTTTGCTGATATGCTCCTCATTTCACAGGTTTGAATTTATTCTTTTCATTGTTCCAGTTTGTTCCTTGACTGCTGTACGCCTGTGTGGAAATGTCAGTTTGGGAAATTAAATCTGTTAAATGCATCATAGTAATCTGATGTTATAGAATGAACATAAATGAGAGATATCAGTGTTCATCCCTGACAGGATAGTACTAGATGAGACAGGAAACTGAGTAGTTGTTAATGCATCTGGGAATTGAGTTTTCGTAGTGTTGTCCTCAGTGGTATCAAGTGAGTATCTCGTTAATATTTACTGACTTTAGCATAAATATGTGTTGTATTAACAGACAGCAGAAGTTTAAATCTGATTTTAAGTTACATTATAGACATCTTAGATTTTGTAAAAGAAAAGAAAAAAAGTTAGTCCTTTTATCCATAGGCTTTCACTGTTTACATTGAAGCGGATAGTGATGTCAGAACCCTGCTCTGAGAGAATTATATATTATGTTGAACCTTTTCAATTTGCAACTATGGAGGAAAACATCGCATATAAATAAAATGAAAACAATTACGGAGGCAAGAGTGCGACAGAAGCAGAGTGTTATCTGTAAAGAGCTCTTCTCTCTGTCATCGACTGTTAGAAGTACTGTATTTTTATGTGAGCATTTATTTGCTTTTCCAGTTGACTAATTGCATTACTAAATGCAGAGGGAGAAACGTGCAGTCTTTTGGAAGTTGCCTTGTTGTCTGTTCTCCTCTTTTTATCTACATGATGATACTGATTGCACTTACTGTGTTGTCTTAATGGCCTTGATAGTTGATTATATGAACAAAACATTTAAATGAATGACAGTCATTTCTAGGTTTCTAACATCATATTCAGCAGGCATTTGTAGCTGTGTGTATATGTTTCCAAGTGCTGCAGTTTGCTGCACTTTATGGAACTCTGATTGTAGAACCTTTCATGTTGCAAATGTAGTAAAAAAGAGGAGTTTGAGGCAAGTGGTGTTTATTTAGTTGCAATTTGCACTGTCACCGCTGGATGCCACCAAAACTTACACACTGGTCTTTTAGGTGAAGGAGCTTGCTGGACTGTGTTTAACTGTTGTGACCACTAGAGAGCACAACAGTGTAAATTTTCCCTTCTCCATCTCTGCCAAACCTTACTGTATATATGTATATATGCTAGGATTTAAAAAAAAAACTCTATAATGTAGTTCTGCAGAGAAAAATGTGAACAAAACAACTAAACTACTTAGTGTTTGGAAATATATAGGCTTTAATGATGAATACACTGTTGTAAAGAAAATGTAACTCAAGTGACTGGCTGAATTGGGTATACTTTTAACAAGACAACCTAAATCTATTCATGTTGAAGATGGTGATTGTTTGGATGCTTTTAATGTGATGGTAAAGGATTTTACAGTGGTTAGAGTTTGGATTGTGGCTAGTGAGAACACTACTTTCCCTGCTGTTGTGCTAAAGAAGAGCTGAAATCAGAGTCTGTAAAATCCTTATTAGACCTGAATCTAAATGTTTGCGCTTAGAAAGGGGAGATAAATGCATTTGAGCACATTGTTTACAGCTCTGAGAGACAATGAAACTGTTGAAGATAAAATAAAACACAATAGGATCATCACATGAAAAATCAATCAAATCAATATTTAATGAAGACATGCAAAATTTGAGCTTCATACCATGGAAATTTCCTTATTTCTAATTAGAGATCACTCAATTTTTAGGTTGCATTTACAGGTGATGAAATCCTAGTGCATGAACATTAGGGGGTTACATTCAGTCAGGCTGTGCATTTAATCCTTAATGAACTTTGACCTGGTCATGCCAGGATTGGATCACAGCATCCTGAACCTAACCTGTTCAGACTCAACATCTACTCCTAACAGGGGATTGAAAGTCTGTGGTTTTTTAAAAGCGAGGTGCTCATCCATCATTTGCCTATTTGAGAAGTCAAGATTTAATTGAAAGATCAGATGTTTTTGTTAGCCTGATCATTTCCGTGAAGTTGACTGCTTTTTGGGGTGCTTGGCTGATAGTACAATAACGTATTGTTATTTTTTGTATTTATTTATTTCATGCAGCATCTTGGGTGGGTGTGCTGTCTCTCCAAGGCTACGGGGGGACTAGCTGTGTTAATTTTGATATTAAAAATGCTTCTGGGTCTTTATGGCCACATGCAAATATGCAATATTTTCTAAACAAACACAGATTAAATCAGTGAAATTAAACAAACCTGAAACTGAAGTACTGAAACCTTTGTGCAGTGCATGGCTCAGGATAGCATTCTAATATCATATGATCTGTATGGATAAGACAATAATCCCAGTGTATGCCTAAAAATATCAGAGCCTGCCATTGTTTTATCCCCTGGAGCTGTGAATCTGATTAGAAGGGGCTTGATGGTGCAAGGATGGATGTTAGTTGAAGGTTTGCATTTTGGGAAGTGTGAAATTGCACATTTCAAACTAAAGGTAATGGCACAGATTTCCACTGGCTTTTTGTCACTTGGTTTGTGCAACCAAAATACACAAAGGCAGAGTTAAATCAAAGTGTGTTAGAACAGAAACAGTATTAACCTGCCACACAACTACACCAAACAGTCACTGGGCCTTTTCTTATAAAGCTGTGAGGCAGCTGTTGGTGCTGTGTCTCTGTGAGGCTCGTGCTGCATCGACCTGTTATAGGGGTGAGATGTAACCGGAGATAGTTGACCTAATTTTTGGGTGTTGTGGTATGCGAGGGAGTCGAGGTGATCAGAAAAGAAGACGAGGTCATCTCACGATCCAGTCTCTGCCATCTTATAGCAACAACACCAGCAGCACAGACAGCAGGGAACCAAGCCTTGTTCAGCGAAAATCAAGCCTGTGGCATCGTGTCCGTGTCGCACAAAGGTCCAAATGTTGTTATGCAACATTCCCTTTTATGTTCTCTGAAATGCTGATAACAGAGTTCTTAGAGGCTGCACCCACTTCATGAGAGCTGTAAACAGACTTAAGGTCCCTCCAGATTATGAGCTTCAAGGAAACTTAGATATGTCATTGAGTTTCATGTATGCAGACTATATTGTGATAATACCTTCACCAATCCAATGCTGTTTTTTTTCCCCCATGCTTTGTGATCCTTGGTGCACGCAAGATGTGATAACTGGCAGAAAATTCAATTAAATTTTTCTTTTTGATATAGCGCCAGTTCAGAATAACAGTTGCCCTTAAACAATTAAAATGATACTGCCTTTAAAGCTCAATTCTAAACGCTCAACTCTTAACTTTCATTTGTAATTTTATATAGTCATCGAATCACTTAGCATTAGTTTCTTTGCTTCTTAGCTTCTTAACTTGGAGTTGTTGACAAAAATATGACAAACATGTGACAGCTGACCAGGTTTCTGAATGTTATTCATCACAAACTGCAGGTTTCTCAACTGAATACCAGGGCCAGTGATGGATTTTTAGTGATAGCTCCACTGAACAGACATTTTATTGATGAAATAAATTGCATATTAGTTGCATGATTGCAACTGATATGAGAAAAGTTATCTAGGAGTTGACTTTAATGCAAGAACTTGCTCAGCCAGAGTACCAGTTTGTGTGCATACATTTCAAAAAGAATGTTGGACGTGTTCAGATGCATCCAGAAATGTAAAGACAGTGTAGTTTGCATGTTTCTACATGTGTGTAGATCTGCATGATCTATATATATATATATGAGAATTTCCAGAAAGATGAGCATAAGATACGTAAAATATGTATATATGTGTTAACTTGCATTGAGTCACGTCTATTAGTTGATCTTTCATGCGTGACTGACCACTGAATGCCCAAGCAGCTCGATGCTCACACCGAAAGTTGACCCCTGTGACTTTTAATGCATCGTCAAGCATTTTGCTGCATTTGTGTTTCCACGTGGAGGGCCGTATGCTGTGTGTTTAAAAATGTGTGTGCTCAGCAGCAGTCATCAACCCATTCTCATTGATTTTAAAGGTTTCCTTTTTTTCCTCCCCCGGCTCAATTTCACAGCTGTTTATGAGTTTTGTTTGTGTGTTTGTGTGTGTTGACAGGGACACTGTATTCTAGTGTTCGAGCCCTTCTGTATAGGGGGAGGGCCTATGTTTTCTAATCTATTTTGAGCAAAAACCCCTCCCTCCCTTGCTGTTGCTGTAGATATATAAGGCCTCTGCAGACACACAATCTTTTCTTCACTCTCGTTTTAGCTGAGACGCCAAACTGGAGGTAAGTGTGTGTGTGTGTGTGTGTGTGTGTGTGTGTGTAGGAGGGAGGGAGGAAGGGACGGAGGGGTGTTTGTTTCAAATGGTTGTACTCCAGGCTGCATGCAGTTTTGTTACACATTCATTGCAAAAATTCATTAAGCGCAACAAATTCTTGCTGTCAATGTTCACAAAAAAATTAAATCTAAGCATTTAGCAGTTTTGATGTTTAAAACGTTGGCTTCAATTCTGAAATTGGAACATTTCCTCAACTTGTTGATTTGTAATGTTGTAATCAGCTGTTGCTAAGAAGATCATGACCGTTAAGTAGTCTTAGACACATAACATGTAAGCTGTGAAGCAGCGTTTCATAATAAACAGGTTTAGATGTCACTGCCATCAAGGAAACACCCATAAACTGCCATTTCATAGTCTGAGTGCTTTTTAGTAGGTCACCCCTCTGGCAGCCTATTAAATCTCTTTTAAACAAATGTAATCTTATCCTTTTAACAGTGACCCAGAATATAGTCGTCACTCAACAGATGTAAAATTGGATAAGTTGTTTCCATGCTTAGATTCCTGGATGAGGCCTTTTTTAGGGTAGTTAATCCATGAGACAAGGTCAATTTTAGCTTCTTAATGTTTTTGTGTTCATAATGTTGTGTTATAGATTCAGAGTAATTTATGAAGTGGTAACGAGTCAAATTCTACTGTAAGTGTAAATTATGTTGGGTGGGGGTGTTTGTGAAATGGTGAAACTGTTGTCTGTGTGCATTTAGTTGGTTCTTCTTCCTTCTCTGGTTGTTTGTTTGGTTGAGACCCAAACACATAACTGTGCTGCACAAGAGACATCACAAAAACACAAATGAGCAAAAACAAGAATGGATGATCACCTATTATTGGCTTAACGTAACTATTCTTTACTTGTGAAATAACGGGTGGGGTGTTATTCAAGCTGAATTCTTGCACAAGGTCATTTAACATCTCTACACAAATACACTCATTCCCTCAAACACATGAGGTCATCTTTCCAACAACCTTTAAGACTGTCCTCCACTAGAGACTAATTGCAAGACTATGTCTGTTATTAGTTGGTCTATGAAACTAAATTATATATATTTTCAGTGAAAGCTGCATTCACAGTGGAGGCCCAGGCTGTGTTTAAACTAAGTCTCTGAAAAACCCTAAAATTATTGAAGTGATGCATTTTCCTGTTGCTTCTGTTGTTAGTGGTTGTTTTTGTTTTAAATCTCCTCCATTATTCGTTCAGCCTTCCTGTCCTGTATAATTCCTTAAACCGTAAGCATTAAAATGACTCCATGATTTGGACTGTATAAAGATACAGTTGGGTTTGGAATGTGAGGGATCAAACGTATACAAATATATGCAAATACTTATTAGTGACCATGCACTAGTAGGAACATGTTTATACTCAAGAAAAAACTGCCTCGTACCTCAATGTCTGGAGTGTGAGGAGACATGCAATATGTCATTTAGTTATGGTTCAACCCACTGAATATCTTAGAGCGTGCCTAAGAGCATCTTGCCACTTAGCAGCCATCTTGGTAACACCTTTGAGCAGTTAATTTGGGCTAACAAGACCAAGCCCTCGTTCTAAATGGATGATGAGATGGATACACGGGAGAAAATGCATGTAGAGAATCATTAATCGATCATTTGATTTATATATAAATTAAAAAACAAAAAAAACTTTACTTGGTGACTTTTCCCCGGAATAAGGCATAAATGATAAATCAGCATGTTGATTATGCTGGTCTCACACTAGCTCCTCCCAACACAACACTTGAACTAATGCCATGCCAGTTCATGTTATGGATACAGATTACCAAGAAAAATGACAAGCATCATGACATGACCTATATTTTATCTCAACTGCACTCTAAGGTTTCATTGCTGGCTCCTGCTCAGTTGCAGTGTTACTGTGTTGACAAAGCTCCCCACAGAAATCCGGAAACAGACGTATAAACATCTGCCAGACTACTCATAACCACTTTTATGGTACTTCCTGCTACAGTAGATGTCACAGGGACCGCAAATTGACATGACCCACACACAAACTCAGACTCGCAAGGAAAAGACACCACCAGCCACACTGTTGCTAACTTGTAAAAAGTGATCAAAACATCTTTATATTTATAACTGAATGCTCAACTTCTTTGCAAAGTATTTCTTTTCCCCTTGATTCAGCCAAATTCTAAGGTTGTCTGGTATATTGTAGCTCTAATGTACACAAACTGATCTGAGCTGTCCTGCTGTGTGTGACATTTAGAAATGTCAGCAAATTAAAAGGCAGGAATTAATATTAAATTAAACCGAATAAATAATAAAAAGCGCATCATCACCAGTACTTTGGAATGAAAACTCACAAAGAAAAGTTATGAGGTGGTGAGGTGCTTTGAGGACAGTCTTGTCTGACTAGGCAGATCTCATGGCGATGTGATTAAGTTACAAGAAAGGTTGAAGTTCACCCCCTCTCTGCAGAGAGTCACTGTAGCTGTTTGTGTGTCTTTGAGTTCGTTATACAACACTGACAGATTCCACACATCAGCTGTTTCATGACCCGCAAACTCTGCATGTGGATCAGGGAACACTGTGTTCAGATATGCTCGAGGTGTTGATGCATAAAAATGCCAGTGACTGTAGTTCAGTTTGAGTATCGTGTGCATGTAGGAGGTGCATTCAAGACAGCACACGTCTCCATTTCCTTTGGCACTCTCTTTGACAGATACGCTTCAAATGTAATTAATTTCAGTTAAAATCAACCCAAAGTTCTCAACACACAAACTTCTCTGCAACGTCCTCATTTTTCTCTCTATACCCAAAAGAGGAGGCAGGTCTAACCAGATACGTTTACTCTGAGGTGCTTTTATTAGAACCAGAGCCTTTCAAAAATCCCTAAAGCTGAAGAATCTGAGAATTGAAACGGTTATGTTGGTAAATTAACATTTCCCAAATCTACACTAAAGGAATTTTTAAAAGTCAGCCCACACTAACTTGTCTCTCCTCTTCTTTGTCCCTCCAGATGCCTCAATTTGAGAAAACCACGGTCCACATGAAGGACCACGGGAAGGTGGAGGACATCATCTGCGGTCTCATCAAAGGAGGAGCTTCCAAACTGCAGGTAAAACATCAGTTTGTCATTATACTAAACCTGTCTGTGTGTCTTTTGGTAAAACACCACCACCTGGTGGTGAAGAAGCTTGTAAGGCTGCAGCAAATGGAAAAATATTTTTCCAATTATCACCAGCTAGCTTGTGTTTTACTGGCCCAGCAGGTTTCACTGGGCTTTAGCTGTAAATAAAGGTAAAATAGTCCACGTTGAGACAAATAACAAGTAAACATAACTTTCATAGAGAACAGGAAGTCTTGACTCAGGTATCCCAGAAAAATGGCATTTGCCCAAATTGACTTTGTCACCAGTTTAGCTATTGGGTTCCCTAATTGTCTTACACCACCTAAACTAAAAAAGATTTCAGTTGGCAGTTATCACCTCCAGGGCATTACTTTTGAGAGCCTTTGTTTCTTTTTGTGTCTGATTCAGGGTCTTTTATGGTTCTGGTAAACAAAGTGTTCTTCACTGTTTCAGATCATCACAGACTTTGACATGACGTTAAGCAAATTCTCAGTTAACGGCAAGCGTTGTCCGACGTGTCACAGTAAGTAAAACCCAAAAAAGACATTTCTTTTTATTATGCAGCACTTTACAGTGTAAGAAATGTAAACATAAATTGCAGTTCCCCTGTGTGAATCATACGTTCTGTTTACTCTGCACAGATATCATTGATAACTGCAAACTGGTAACAGAAGAGTGCAGGAGTAAGCTGCTAGCGCTGAAGAATAAATATTATCCCATTGAGATCGACCCTCAACTCAGCATGGAAGAGAAATACCCGTTTATGGTGGAGTGGTGAGTCTTGCACACACCAGCACACTGTACAAATTCACTCGATTACTTTACTGCTGTGTGTTGCTTAAGTTGTGAGGTCTATCTTACTAAAAGTAAAAGATTGTTTTTGCATATTTACAGGTATTTCAATTCTCACCGACTGCTTGTGGAGCAGCGGTTAGAGAGGGACAAGCTGCCAGAGGTGGTCAGAGAGTCTGAGGTTGCCCTCAGGTAACTGTAGAGGAAGATGTGGAGGAAACTGAATTACACGTGTGAATCCTGTTTGAGCACAGTGTAAAGGATAAACTGTGCCTGTGTTTGGTTTCAGAGACGGCTTTGAGCAGTTCTTTGACCGCCTGCATCAGCACAATGTGCCTGTGTTCATTTTCTCTGCTGGCCTAGGAGATGTCCTAGAGGAAATCATGCGCCAGGCAGGAGTGTATCACCCCAACGTCAAGGTCGTCTCCAACTTCATGGACTTTGATGAAAATGTGAGTGTTTAATGAAAGACAAAGTCTTCATTATTGAGTCTTAATTCTGGTGTTTACAGTTAATCTGTAGAGAAATAGAAGCACATTGGCTGAACAAGCTCTGCTGGATGTTTCTTCCTGTTAAAAGGGAGTTTTTCTTTCCACTTGTCTGGGCTTGTCTGAATATTGTTTTTCTGTATTATTGTAGAGTCTTTACTTTACAATATAAAGCACTTTGAGGTGACCGTTGTTGAGATTTGGCGCTATGTAAATAAAACTGAATGGAATTTTTTTTATTGTCTCCTTGTTTCGCAGGGCATCTTGAAGGGATTTAAAGGTGAGCTGATCCATGTGTACAACAAACACGACGGTGCCCTGCGGAGCTCAGAGTACTTCAAACAAATCAAAGAGTACTCCAACATCATCTTGCTGGGCGACTCACTGGGGGACCTAAGCATGGCTGATGGTGTGACCAATGCGGAGAACATCTTAAAGATTGGCTTCCTCAATGACAAGGTACAACCATGACATGCATAGACAGATCCTTAAGCATAGTAAAAATGTCCCAGAACATTGAGTTGGCTGTGTTATCAATGTTACATCTACTTGAGGTCAGTAAGGGAATAATAGAATAGCAGTGTCTCATTGTCTGGGGTTATGGAAATGCCATGTTGAAGGCTTTCTGCCATCTAGCCCTTATACTTTGTAATATTGCACACTGTCAGCAAACATTTGTCTTTTGAATTTTATTAATTTATTTACTGAGAGATTATTACCCAGAGATTATTAGAGTGAAATTAGCTTTTATTCCTTTTCTCCTTAAAAAAAACCCTAACAATTCTAAGTCCATGCCATTTTTCAGATTTGAGGATAAATAGTGTCTTAATGCAAATCACAGAATACTTAAGAGTTGACCGCAAAAAAATTGGAAACATGGTTTTTAGACTGCTTAGTCAGGCTCACTTTCCCTGAAGGCAGGTGCTGTGGCTGCTTGAAGATTGATTAGATGAACTGTCTCCTGACCTTTTCTCTGTGGCCTCTCTTTGCAGGTGGAAGAGCGACTTGACAAATATCTGGACTCTTATGACATAGTTCTGGTGAAGGACGAGACATTGGAAGTCCCAAATGCCATCCTCCAGAAGATTCTTTAAGTCCACCTCTGAGCTGACCGCAAACCCACACCACACCCAGTCCACCTCTCTGTCCCCCCTTCAATCTGGAGCCAGTTAGGCTTGACACCCTTTTTAACCAGCTCCACTCTGTCTCAGCACATCACCCTTTGACAGGCTTTTAAAAAAGACATTTTACATCTTGTAAATGAAGTCCACTCAGCATCAACAGACTGTCTCTGGTGTTTTTTGTCTGTTGCAGTTGTTTCTGATGTTTTTTTTTCCTCTATATATATTTTTATGAAATAATAACATCTGAATATTTGCACAGTATTGTTATCATAGCTTTTTCTAGGAGTATTTTTATTATGGTGATGTTTCAATACCATGTATGAGGTGCCCACAGATGGATGAAACAGTTTGGTTTTTCTTCTTTCTTTTTTTTTTGGAGCTATCCCAGCATGCCTGTCACCTCAGTTACTCTACTTTTGCGACTTGGCAGTAAGATGTCATTCTAGCCAGTCTTGCAACGTAAACTGTTGTTGTTAGACATGCCACATATCTGTACAGGTAAGGCTTAAAGGTTGGGAAAGTAATTAAGAACATTTAGTAATGGACCTTTTTATCAGTAATACTTTTTTTTTTTTTTCCAATCTCTTGCTTGGTTACAGAAGCATCAGCAGCCAGTATTGTTTTTTTTTTTGTTTTTTTTGTTGTTGTTGGGTTTTTTTTTTTGGATAAAGAAGAGAGATTTGGGGTGTCAACATGAAACTCATGTGATGATGAGAAATGAGATGAAAAGCACTTTAAATTCTATGTATGGGGAAATTAAGTCTCCTGTTGATGTGCAGAGGTGGCACCGTTTTGATTTATGGATGTTGGAACAGGTTCTAAGGCCATGTTTACATGCATTCAATTTATATCCAAATGTGCTCATTCATACTTATTTCCACCTGTTGTAATGCTACAACTGAAACATTTATGGCAAATGCCATTTTTGATTAAGGAGTTTACACGGCTCTCTTACTCAAGTATTCTCTGTGCCAGAGATAAAGGTTACAGAAGTATTAACTAATGCTGAAGTATACCTGTAGTTGTCATTAGCGGGAATTAGCGGGAACTAAAAAGCCACAATAAGTCCCGAAAATCTGGCACCATAAGCTTCTCTATTGAAATAAATATTACATTATTTATGAAGAAATGTAGTTTATTTCACAGTTTCAGTAAAGAAAGAAGTCACCTGCTGTCTATGGCTCACAAAAACCCAGCATAAGACCTGTTAAATGTAATGTGTTTTATCACCTTTACATTCTCAGTGAGCACTACCTCTAAAATATTCATCTTTATGTTTTTGGAGGTTCAGAACTAAAACGTCTCAACATGTTGTGTAGAATGTTGAATTTGTTTGTGGTTTAAATGTGCTGCTATCACCTGCATGTTGCCTTTTGTTATTGTTCAGTTTATATTAAAGACACGGGACACTTAAAAAGATATATCAATAAAATGGAGAATACTGGCATACTGTAAATGTGGGCATTGTATCAAAATGTATATTATTTTACTGCATTTGGAGATATTTTCAGAAGTTTAGACTGGTGTGTTTTATTTTTATAAGCTGAAAGGCTTTATTTTATGGTGTGAAAAGAAAACATAATAAAGTCATTGTTGTCAGGCCGTGCGTGGACAGCAGACTGGATTAACTTAACTGAAAGCTTTGGGTTCATTGGGATTTTAATGTGGATCATGTAATGTAGGACATTAAATATTTGCTATCCATCAGTTAGTTCAGATACATTTGGATGTGGCTATTGCGTATAAATGTTGTATTCACCTGTTTGTAATCAGTTATCAAAAAATGGCAAATTTACTAATAAATATAATATATTAAATCCAATATTAAAATTGGCCTCGAATAAAACAACATTCTTAAATGATTACAATTACTTGGGTAATTATAATTCAGTAAAGTCAGCAGGAAATTGTAAAGGTCAAGATTAACAAACATATTTCACTCAGGTAACTATAGAATTACTTTATACTGGGAAGAAAGCTCAGTATGCCACTGAATTTCTAATTTAAGCCTACTAAGAGAGTTTCCAGAAAGAAAGAAAATCTGAAGTTTCTAAAAAAAAAAAAGGTAACTGCATTTCTACAAATGTGTTTAGTGGTCTTTGAAGTGATGTGTGCACAGTGCCTATTTTTGTGAATGATATTGCACCATATGTAATGTGCACACAAAGAGAATGTTTAAGAATATGGACTATTCATTTTGACAATTGCACATCAGCAGGACGTCATGATTTAGCCGGTGTATCACAAGATGTCCTGCAGATGGCGGCAGTGGACAAGGAGTGGATGAACTATGGGATGCAATTTAAAGTTTATCAACGTGGCATCTTTGAATCCCAGAAATTGTTGTGTTCATATGAAGAAGTCGTGGCTCGTTGGTCTAGGGGTATGATTCTCGCTTAGGGTGCGAGAGGTCCCGGGTTCAAATCCCGGACGAGCCCATATTTTGTTAGAAACTCATTTTTGTTGTATCTGAACGAGCATAAACTATAAAGGACAAATAGTGCACATCTGGAATCATATTTAATTTTTCTTTAGTGGGTCAATACAGAATTACTACTCTGTCAGACTGAGTCAATGGATAACCAAATGCAAACCATTACAATGCTTTTCCTGCAATGTTATTATGTGATATATGTCGATAAAGAAAATAAAGATATGTACTGATATACAGTACTTACTGTAATACTTGCTTATGCTGACATAAAGATGAAAAAAAGTCACTTGGATAAGTGACGAATCGTTTCTCCCACTGAAAACGCGACGTGCAGATGTACAGAATCATTTTGGTCACATTGAACATGCAAATCAAATAACAGCAATGATAACACGTGTGCGTCACAATTGGCTAGGCTCACTTGCGATTACGTGGCTCGTTGGTCTAGGGGTATGATTCTCGCTTAGGGTGCGAGAGGTCCCGGGTTCAAATCCCGGACGAGCCCTCCCTTTTCGAGCGAATCCTACTTCTAAGCTCCCACATTTAGAAAGTGTAATGAATCTCCCAAGATATACCAATGGTTTAAGTGCACTCTACAACAGTTCCTTGGTTAACAAACTAAATACCCTAAATACACATATGTCACTGTCATAAAATTTACAGGTTTTATCTCTATCAATATACAAATGAAAATAAAATAAATAAAATAAACAACACATTATATACATATATAAAATTATGATTATTAAAAGGAAATAATTATTAAAGGAAATAATGAAACATATCAATAATGATAGGAACAGCACCATTAGAATTCTGATTTAAATCTGTGACAGATGCCACAGCCACGGAGATGGTGGCAGAAGAATAATCACCATCTAAAAAACTTATCTACAAGTTTTAAAAACATTGCTTTTGTCCAAATTTAATGAAGTTTAAAGGTTTTTTCACATTTGATTTGTGATTCGATATACAGAGTGATTAAACAGAGTTAAAAGAAATAATGCTTTAAAAAAACACTCCCCGTGGAGTTACCCGAAGACGTTTGAGTGAGATTTTTTGGTCCACGAAAAAACTCGTTTTCCCAAACACCACCCCATTGTATTTCCGTTCATGCGCACTAACCCCCGGCTTCTCTGCTAAGCGTCAGTGCCATGACAACAGGACGATGGCTGCAAGCAAGAGGGTGAGAAATGTGATGTTTGTGTGACCGAGAAGTAACGAATCTTCGACATTTTTCGGACTAGGTCATTCCTGTGAAGGTAAGAGGTAACCGGAACAATAACAAAGGCGTTTTGTTATCAAATGAGAAACCGTGAAAACAGCAGCGACCCTGTTTCTGATCTGCTAGCGTGTAACTAGGGAACTTGAAGGGCTAGCTAATTAGCCGGCTAAGCTACAGTTAATTCAGCCGGCTTGAGTGTAGTTGCAGGGTAATTCACCTGTGCAGGTTCACAACGACTTAAAACCGTTCTTGAATTTGTGTCACTAACTTTACTGTTTTTAACGTACAAATATGGAGAGTGTTGTTGCCCAAACAAGAGTCCTTATGGGTGTGAAGCAATAAATCTACAATTGAATAGCTATTACAAAAGTCTAAAATCCAAGAGCTTTCAAAATTTAATATCAGACTAGAACAATAAATTTACTTCTTGATTTATTTTTCCTTTCTATTCTTTGATTGTTGGACTGACTCTCTACTGTAGCATTTAACTCGAGAAAGATCCTATCTTCTCTTAATATTTATAGGCATTGTGCACACATTTAAGACTCCAAAATACGTGGAACTAAGTCCGAAATTAGGGAAACAAACCATTGGAAATGACGGGCTAAAATTACGTTTCCCATTCCACTTTTATTTGTCTGATGTTTGCACATAATTTAAAGTCTCATTCACAAAAAGAAAAAAACACAATTGCCTAACAAAGGGTTTAAAGTGTCTCGGTTTTTATTTTTTAAAAGTAACTCATTTATGCTGAAAACTTTACTTAAGGAACCTCAAAATATATTTAAAGCTAATTGATCTAATCTGGAGACATTGATGAGCAATAGACTGCCCCAAGCAAAACCAGTAAATTAGCACAAAGCCATGCAAATAGTAAGTTATTCTGATCATAGAGTAATACTGATCAGATTCTTAACCTTTTAAACCTTGCTTTTTATGCAATGACTTGTCAATGTATTCCTTTAACAGCCTCCCCTTCCTGCATGGCAGTGCACTCTGAATAGGTCGGATTCTCTTTGTATGGATTAACTGTCCGTTCCACCTGCTCAGCACTTAGCAAGTAGAAAAGCTGCTTGCCCCCAACTATACACCTCCTTATTCCCCCCTCTATGCTCACATGCACAATCCTGAGGTCACATGACTGTCTCCCTTCTCTGCCATTGGCTGTAGTTTACCCTACTTGCCTACTGGTGTTGGCCAGAGGGGCTGATGGCGCGATATGGCAGCCTTGCTTCTGTCAGTCTGCCCCAGGGCAGCTGTGGCTACAACCGTAGCTTGCCTCCACCAGTGTGTGAATGTGAGAGTGAATGAATAGTGGCATTGTAAAGCGCTTTGGGTGCCTTTAAAAGCGCTATATAAATCCAATCCATTATTATTATTATTATTAAGTGTTATGTTCAGAGCACTAGGGCTTCCTGGGGTAGTGGGTCAAGCTGTCAATATGCAAATGGCTCAAGGCAAGCCTTTTATGAAGGAAAATAGATGGTGGATTGATTTTGTGAATAAGTAGTCCTTAACCCTTCTTTATACTTGCTGTGGTGATGCTCTTAACATTTCTGGCGTTTTACCTAGAGCTGCTCAGTGAACAGGAGATAATGCTGTGAAAAGTTAATGCCTTGTAGATGCATACTCTGCTCTGTCTCTTTGCTCATCTGTCTACAATGTTTTTGTACCTATAGTTATTCAGTTATACAGAGAAAGTCATTAACTGAACATTTTGTGGTTATTTATTTTGTTCACAGCATCTAATCCTTCACTTCTTCTGTGTTCCTGTCTGGTCAAATAGAGGCGGCATGTCTCTGTTCAAGGCACGTGATTGGTGGTCAGCAACACTTGGCGAAGGGGAGGAGTTTGACCAGGGATGCCTGTGTGTTGGAGACGTGGACAACAGTGGCACTGGACACGGTCAGTGTGTTGTGAGGAACTGATACACTAGCCATCCCATTTATCTATCTTTCTTAGTACGTCACTTCTAGTTTATTCTGTGAGGATAAAAACACATCAAGTTAAATGTGTCTACTGGATATAATTTGTGTATACACACTTACTACTAGATTTCTGCCAACTGAAGCTTTAAACTGTTATTATTAAATTTAATTGTGATTGTCGGCAACCTGAACTAGATTTTCTTCTTATTGTTTCGGAGTCTAAGACTAAATTGCCCATAGGTGTGAATGCGGGAGTGAATGTGAGTGCGAATGGTTGTCTGTCCCTGTGTGTTATCCCTGTGACAGTCTGGCGACCTGTCCAGGATGTACCCTGCCTCTCGCCCTATGACAGCTGGGATAGGCTCCAGCACCCCCCGTGACCCTGAAAAGGATAAGTGGAAGCGAACGGATGGATGGATGTTTCAGAGTCCTGAATTATCTTTATTTATCTTTGTGAAGGCTCCTAGTTCAGTCCTTTGTGTGAACAACACTTTAGTTCCTCTCCTTTTAAATGAACTCTCTTCTTATTGGCTGCCCTTCTCCATCCAAATGCACAAAAGTGAGAGAGGTGTGCACCTGAGATGGCCATAATACGGACACCTGCCGTTACTCACTATCTGAAATTTGATCTTTTGACTCATAGATAGCGGCACTCATGGCCCTTCAAAGTCACCTCACTATTTGAAGCTTAGGACAACAAAAAAAAAAGCAAAAGCATGAAACATCCCATTTAGATATCCTCAAAGTAGCCAAAACACAGAAGTATGGGAGCATAAATAAAACCCTTCTCATTTTGATTTGCAGTTCAACTCTGCATTATAATATGTGTTGCTAAACTGTATTTTTTTCAAGCTGGTTGAAAGAAGAGCTGATGGTAACACCGCTTGAGCCACTGGACCTCTTTTCTTTGCAGTATGTCAAACTCCAAAATAATAAAAGTTAGACTGCTACCAATGAGTAATAACCTCTATTCTCTCTGCTATTTCCCCTCTTTGTGATGATAAATTTGCAGACAAAGTTGTAGTGGGAAGTTACATGGGGATGCTGCGAATCTTCTCCCCACATGCCAGTAAGACTATTGAAGGAGGTCAAGCTGATGCCCAGCTGCTTGAAGTTCAGCTTCAAAATGCCATCATCCAAGTCGAACTGGGCAAGTTTGTTTCGTAAGTATGCAAATCTAACCCACAAACAGTGGACAAGCATACCAAAAACATACGACAATGTACTGTAGTCATTGCTGGTTCTTTCTCTAAATTAAGCTCTTTTCCCCGTTTTGAGTCAAAGTTTTGTCAACATTTCTTTTCAGCTTGTCTGAATGAAACTAAAATGGATTTGGTCTTTAGTGTCACTCCTGATAAGTCAAGTCAAATCACCACAGCCTTGTGTTCTAACACTAGGACCATTGATTATGTTGCTAATCCCTCATTGCACCTTATCTCCTGCCTTCTTGGCTGCCTTCCACCATGTCAGGCCTTGACCACTGTGGTGGTGTTGTGTAGGACAAATTGATATAAGCACTCCCAGTCACAGTCTCACAAAAGCGCTACCTCACAAATTACACATTTGCTCTTTTAAACGGACAGAGGCAGGCAGAAAGAGTTTGTTGACAGTAGATGTTAATGCTAACATCAAATCTTTTTAAACCATCTTGCTTCTGATTGGTTGCCTCTCACAAAAAGGTTGAAACAAGGGTTTGGTGGGACTTGCTCTAAACACATGCTTTAAAACAGTGGTCCCCAACCTTTTTTGCGCCACGGACCGGTTTATGCCCGACAATATTTTCACGGACCAGCCTTTAAGGTGTCGCGGATAAATACAACAAAATAAAACTAGTACCGGTACCGAAAAAAAGAAGATTTATTCATAACACACGTGAAAAGACCCAGGAAAACAGAGTTAAAGATAAAAACGATAACAAAATAACACTGAAGAACGATAAAAACCCTGAAAAACATACATTTCACACCCGAGCCTCAACTCTCGCGGCCCGGTACCAAACGACTCACGGAGCGGTACCGGTCCGAGGCCCGGGGGTTGGGAACCGCTGCTTTAAAAGCTTTAACTTGAAACATGTATGTCCTCAATCCAGCTTCGCAGAGAGCATACATTCACAGAGCATTGCTTGATGGTACAAAATAGAAATGACATGTCGTGTTTCATGTCCACTTTAAATACATCCACTCTCACTGACATCATACTGAGCTGACATGCTTGATTTGAGATGAAGCATTTAAATCAATCTGAAATCTGAGCTTTTAGATCATTCTTGCAAATATGTGTGTTTGATGTGAGCCATTCCAGCAATCACTGCAGATTTAGGCAAAGCAAGACAGGTCTTTTTGAAAAGTAACCAGTCTTATATTTGCATTGTCTTTGGTGGCTGAACAGGTCAGAGGTCACAGTTAGAGAGGATACTGTGCAGTTGATAGAGCTTTAGGAACTGAAGCAGGATGCACAGAGGAGCTGCCCTGTAATTGAATGTTCAGTGTCATCTGTTACATATGTGTGCCTTTCTGCAGTAATGAATCACAGGGCTTTCTTGAACTCTGTGTCATGACCTCGTGTGAATTATAAGCATTCATAGTATAGCCTGTAATAAAGCCTTACTTTAAAATGCCAGGCAGAAATAACCATTTGTAGCTTAATGCTCTGCTTTTTCATTCATAGAAAAAAGCATCCCTTCTGTTACTTACAACCACATTAACATCTTTTTCCACTGCAAAGTATGCTAACCTCAAACCAAGATTGCCAGGAGTTTCTCTCCCGACTCATGATTTACACGATCTATCAGTGGCCCAAACATAGTTGTGCTTATAATGTCAGGCTAACCACTGAGTTTCTAGCATAGTTTTAAAACCCAGGGCCACTTCCAGCAACGTTAGTGCATTGCTGGATACTACGAGTCAGTCAAGTGTAATGTGCAGATGTGTCCAGGAAAAAATCGCTTGTTTTGAAGAGACATTGATCAGGTTTCAAAACTATGTAAATGTGGGAAGAAGGATAAAAGCAATTATGGGGGATAGGGCAGTGTTGATTAGATATAGGATTATTGTGGTAATTATTCAGAGCTGGAAAAAAAGGAAATTAAAGCAGGACTATAAAGATTTTGAAGGATTGAATATCTCAGATTTTCTATTATATATGTAATTGAAATGTTGAAGTTATGACTAAAACACACGCTTGCTTGATTCAACACTGCACTCATATTTTACAGCTACATTAAAAAAAAACTTCAAATAAATAACTTAACAAATTCACTCCTTCTCAGGCTCCATACCTTTTTAATCCATGACGGTTAAAGAAGTGAGATAGGAAAACCTTGACAAATGAAGAGAAAGTGAGGGACCTTTAACTGCTTGTAATTAGAATTTGTAGACCCTACTTTTAATTTTTGCTAGATGTTCTTTGTGAAATATTCTTAAGTGTTCAAATATCGATGGTTAGTGTAAATGTTTTTTTAATTCCATCTCGAAGGGCTCCAGACAATGACTGATTACAGTGTGGACCAATTTCTACTTGATGTAGCTGCAACACC